TTACCTCGCTATGGTCACGGTGTCAACTGTTCCAGGGGCGTGTCACGGTGACGAGATGTTAACTACCTCGCCAGGTATACATGTGGTCGTGGGTACGATGCCGACCATGACTCCTACTGTATAGTTGAAGTTTGCTTGTCTCTCTCCCCGTGGTCGCGTGGATTTTTCTCGGGGACCTTCGGTATTTCCCTCCACATTTCGAAAAATGCGGTTAAAGTATTTGGCTTCTATATATGTCTCAACGAGAAGCCACTTCGTTGAGCTATAATTTGTGGGCAGGTCGATTCTGAAAAAAATATCTATACTTTCTAGCTCAGTGGGCCTTACCTGGTAAAATAAAAAAAATATCTTATAGTTTTTTTAATTGCTTAGTTTTATGGTTTATTGTTTTCTAACCTACCAGCGAGCCAGATAATATTCAGTGACAAACTCAAGCACTTGAGATACGGATCGGCAGGTGATGTGGTAAATGAATGACGTAATTAATAATATATTTTGCGTGTGTTTGCTGTCCTTTTACTGTACCTCCGATTGGCTACGTACGGTGCGAACGAAGTTCAACATACATACATACACACATCGTGCAATTAATTAGGCCTCAGTGTTGAGCTCAAGGGAGTGAACGTGGAGTGGCCACGCGTGGTGATCTGGGAGCAAAGGGTGTGCTGGGACCGCGTGATGGTGGTGGATGGATGGAGATCATCACGGGCCGCTGCGTCAAGAAGCCATTCTTAATTATACACCACGCCGCCTCGTCTCACGTGCTCACTCAAATGGTACGTCATTAACTGACGTGTCGATTATCAGGTTAAAGAGGCCGTCCATAAATGACGTCACGCGATTTTGGACGATTTTTGACTCCCCCCCCCTCCCTCGTCACACTGCATCACAAAAAGTCAGACCCCCCCCCCCGTCAAATATGACGTCACCAAGCTCTGCCCCCCCCCCCCCCCTAAAAAATAAACATGCTTCAAATCGCTATAAACTATTGTCATTGTAATCTTATTTTTTTTTATTGTTTTATATATATTTTGTTATTTTGTTGTTTCCCTTCAACGTGACTTTACCGAAAAAACTAAGATTATGAATTACTGCAGTCACGAAAGCTTTAAATCAAAATTTATTGTCATTGTAGTGCGTATTTAATGTGCCGCTGCACTCTGATGTTGTAGGAGAAAACATTTATCAAAAAATCTATTTAATTAATACTCTTTGGTTCTATTCGGTAAAGTCACGTAGGTAAAACAACAAAAATCACGACGTTTTGGCCACAACACAAGCGGCCTTCATCAGGTGAAGGGATCAGGCTGTCTCGAGGACAGCGCTGGAGTGAAACACAGCCACGCTCAGACCGCGACCTTTAAGCTGTGTGCGAGGAAACAAGGTGCCTTGACAAAGGAATTAGCATAAAAATTAGCATTTGATTGTCCGACTTAGCATAGAGGTGGTGTACGTGCGGGTGCACGTGCCGGTTGGCGCGGGGAGGGGGGAGTTTACTTATTGATGGGGTGAAAAGGGAATTTTTAAGAGCTGCGAAAGTTTGGGGTACCACTACTTGAAAAATATACTGTACCATTGAAAATTAGTTTAATGTTTGGTTCGATTTAGAACATCTTTCCAATGGTTGCTTAATTTGAAACCATCTTCTCGGTTGAAATTGTGTCTGTGTTTGTAGATCTGAATTGCCTCGTGAACAAATCTCTGATAAAAACCCGTGGGTTTGCAAAGAACCTTGGTATCGGAGAAAATTATATCGTGATCACCCACAGCGTTGTAACAGTGATCAGCCACGGCAGAAGAATTCGTTCTGCCGTGTTTCAAATCTGATGTGTGCTCGCGAATTCGGTCAGAGACATGTCGCTTTGTCTCCCCGATATAGCAATCACCGCAGGTACAACTCAATTTGTAAACCCCGGGGTACAAAATTTGCAATCGATGAAAATATTGGTGTTCTTTATCCGGACATTTATTTCTCAGAACCATGTTGGGTCAGGCAAGGGGGGTTACTCGGTTGAAACTAAACTCAAGAAGTGGTCCCAGTAGCCAAACAAGGCTGAGAATAACCGCTGCTCTGTCCCATACAGCCAGAACAGGTGGAGTCCACCTTCTTTTTTACACACGCTTTCATTTAACTCACTCTGTCTGTTGTTGTTGTTGTCGTTGTTGTTGTATCCTCAATCTTGTAACTCAATTTTAACACACTTCCCAATGTGGTATCGACTGCAAACTTGATATACTTACGTCATACTGATAACAATGCTATATTATATCATAAAAAATAAATATTTTTAAACATTATTTTTTATATGTCATGTTTCGGCTTGGGTCTAATTGTCCACGGTAAACTAACGTTGGCTGTAAATCACCACGGGTCCCCTTACGTTGTGGCAAGCCTCGGGGCCACTTCCTGGAGTCGTGGAGTTCTTCCGTTACTCGTACGGTACATTTCATTAAAGCGTGTTTTAAAAAAAGTTTTTGTTAAAATATTATTTATTTTTACTGTGTTGCATTCTCGTGGCGAGCCAGGGTACGGCTCCTCGTAGACGCCCACGGGAAGGGAGTTTGACAACCCATCTGTGCGGTGATCCACCAACCCCCGCTGCCCCTCACTTGATGGATCACAGGCCACGTGCTTACCCACCACCGCCCGGCTAATTGATATAAAGTACTGATTACGTATTTTTTTTGGCTTCCCCCATACGATAATCTCTATGAAACGTTTCTTAGAAACGCAGCCACCACAGTTAACCTTTGTGTCATATTGTTGTGTGTGTGGGGAGCGGTAGTGTAGCGGTCAGCGCGCTGCCCTACGAACCTGGCGACCCGAGTTCTATTCCCGCTCACGGCCAACACCATTGACGATTATCTGAACCGGTCCTGGGGCTCCCTTAAGTCGCCTCAGCCTCAAATGAGTACCTCTGGTGTGGTGTGTAAAAAAAAACATCGCCACTAGGGGAGACAAAGGCGGCTGGGCGTGGTGCTGGCCACCCACCCCCTCGTGTGCCGTTCTGGCCTTCATAGGTGCTCGCTAACAGCACTTGCCCCAACAGTCTTGTCACGGCTATACGGGGGATATTTGCCTTCGTCTTTACAGGTGCCATGCGCGGCACGTGTGCAGCCGCTATTGTGTATGGATTATCAGATTGTGCTATTTGAACCGGTCCTGGGCCTCCCCCTCGATTGACTTGGCATTGAGTACCTGGGGCGGTATGTAAACATCGCCACTCGGGTGAGACAAAGGCGGCCGCGACAGTCGATAGACCACAGTTGATCAGAATAAGAATATTTATTTATACTGGAGGAGGAATCCGATAAGCTATAAAGATATTTTTTCACAGATGTGCAGTCGAGGCGGGTATAGGGGCCGTCCATAAATGACGTCACGCGATTTTGGAGGATTTTTGACCCCCTCGTCACACGGCGTCACAAAAAGTCAGACCCCCCCCTCAAAAATGACGTCACAAAGCTCTGCCCCCCCCTCCAAAAATAAAATAAAACATGCTTCAAATCGCTTTAAACTATTGTCATTGTCGTGCGTATTTAATGTGGCGCTGCACTCTGATGTTGGAGAAAATATTTATCAAAAAGTCTATTTATTAAGTAGAACGTGTTGTCTATGTTTATTTAAAGTTGCGCATTTTGATGTGACGTCACATTTCTCACCCCCCCCCCCCCCCTCGTCACACATCGTCACAAATGTCTGACCCCCCTCCCCCCTCCCCATGTGCGTGACGTCATTTATGTACGGCCCCTAAGGTGAATGTCTCGATATCGATCCGAGCCGATATACGTTCTCCGAGTGCTGTGACTGTGAAGTTCAGTAAACTATTAGTCTATATATATTTATTTTTTACCAGGTAATGCCCCACTGATCTGTGGCTTTTTTTGTCAGAAGCGACTTGAGCTATTACAAATGATAGCTCAACGAAGTTGGCTTATGGTCGCGTGGAAATGGAGAGCAGTAGCCGAATAATCTAAACAGCGTGACGTTCATTCTAAATGTGGAGGGAACTAAAATCACGAAGAATAATATCATGCGGTATTATTAAAGCTAGCCTCGTCAAGGATATCATCAGCTTCGAGGTTAGTGACGCGATGCGTATGAATAGCCGAGCTGACGCAGAATCCCGATATCGACTTCACGAAGCTTTGCTGTTGTCGGCTATTCCCTAGGCGCCAAAACATTACCGTGCAATGACACACACGCGCGCACAAAGATGTGTATACATTTAGATACACACACCACAAAGTCCCCGTTACTTTCCAGTGCCTCTTGGAATCACCGGCAAATCGCCAAATGCGGTGCGTGTATAAAACATGAAAAACATTATTCAGACATCTTCTTTGGTTCTTTCGGTAAAGTCACGTAGAATGAGAATAAAATTATAAGATAACACAGTAAAATTCTCACGACGTTTCGGCCACAACATTCTACGTGGTGACTTTGCCGAAAGAACCAAAGAAGATGAATCCTTGCAGTCACGAAAGCTTTAAATCGAAATTATTCGGACACATTCAGAATCCGAATCAAAATACGTATTTATTATTCTGGAGGAATCCGATGAGCTATAAAGCAATTTTTCACAGATGTCCAGTAGGGGCGTGTAACGTAAGAACGTTACAACAACAAACAATACAAAAAAAACCCGATAGCAGTGCAAAGTACAAAAAGGTAAACATCACCCAAACACGTACAAACACAACAAAACCCATCCCCATCACAGCATAAGCACATTTGGAACACCGTTAACAAAAACTAAACCACGCGCGTTACACTATCGCTTTCATCCATGAAAACGAATTCTTGTGCTATCGTCGACTTGTGTGTGTGTGGGGGGTGGTGGTGGTGAGTTCCATCTGAAGCAACGCGTGCCCTGAGTGACAACAACAGCCCGGCGTCGCTAATTATAACTCTGTTCTCAATGCCACCACCACCACCACGCAGCCACCCCCACCCCCCGCATAGCGCAAGGATATTTCTCCGCTTATATCCAGCGGCGCATCTTGAGCCGGGGGGGGTGGATCTAGACAATCAGAGCTCGGTGCAGGATCCTGCTCCTCCTCCTCCTTCTTCCTTCCTTCCTTCCTCCCAAGAGAGGCAGCTCGCTGTCAGGAGGCCAGGGGGGTGAGGATCCCGGCGAGCGACGCACGCAGAGAGCACCCCGGCGCTTTTTGCCGACCTCCGAGAGAGTCTCCTGTAGCCCCGCGGGGTCAATTCTGTGCCGAGATCCAAGCTCCGACGATGTCGAGCCGCCGTACCAAGGGGAAGTCCTCGTTCAGGAAGCGGCCTCAGCGCGCCACCTCCAACGTGTTCGCCATGTTCGACAAGTCGCAGATCCAGGAGTTCAAGGAGGCCTTCAACATCATGGACCAGAACCGCGACGGGCTCATCGACAGAGAGGACCTCCAGGACATGCTGGCCTCTCTCGGTAATGCGCTTGAACTTTTAAAAACAAAAATGTTGACTTAACAATTGAACGTCCGCGCCATGTTGCCGTATGCCACGATGTTCTGTCGTAGTCTTACTGAACAAAATGTCAACGCAACGGATGTCTCTTCGTCAATGGACTTGTGGACGAGGGCTTGCTCACACCGTGCCGGTAGTGTTTTTTTTATGTTTGACCATACTTCGCCACAATGGTCAAGGCGGGGTGGTGAAGATGCATAGGGTAGACGTGGAGGCATAAAGGTAAAGTAAAACAACGATTGATGTCGCTGCACTGCCCGCTCTCTGTTGTAAAATATAACGGGATGCGATGATGCGCGAGTGAATGGGACGAAGCGGTGACAATGGTTGGCACGCTACACGACGATCTGGTGACATGATTTTTATTCGCGGCCACGGTTAGCATCAGTTGCGAGTAGTCTGCGCTCCTTCGTATGTAATATGTGTATGTTGAACTTCTTTCGCGCCGTACGTAACCAACCGTGCTAATCGAAGGTGCGGGAAATGGAAAAATAATATCAAAACTGCATGAACTCTCTCCTGAAATCCTCTCGTCGTGGCTATCAGAACTCCACGTGGGAGTTTATCTCCTGAACATATTGCCATACGCACGAATTAAAAACCGAAGAGGGAAATATGCCCCCATCCACTTCACGAAGCAGTACTGATCAGGGTGGTGAAGTATGGTCAAAAATCCCCCCATGACCGGCACGACTTGGGGAGGCCGTCATCCTGCAGTGACTTGGCAAATGGTTACAAAGAGTTCTAGTAATTTAATTTCCAAGGGAATGAATCATTAAAGTTCGTGAAAACCGTGACGTCTTTTTTTTGTCAGTCGAACGGGTTCTCACGATGGACGGGTGGTCGGTGTGGTTGTGGCCGGATTAAATGCAGAGAGAGAGAGGGCACGATTGGGAACGAACGCATCGCACCGATGTTCGTACATTTTCCCAGTGCTGTGTAGCATGCACATCTCGGGGAACGCACATTGTAGGGTTTAAAGTGGATAATGCTCTGAACGTCACGAGGCAGCTGCCGTATGCGCTTGATGCAAAGCAGATCCCCAAGAGACCACAAGCAGCTGCTGTACCAATGAATAGATAACAGTGACCGAAGTGAGATCATGCACGTGACATTCTTCAGCTCAACAGCGGCAAATTTCCCATCATTTGAAGGACATTGTTTTTTTCTTTTATTTGCGTTTGAGGTTAATACTAGGAATCTAGGGCTTTAAGGATATCATTTCGCTTTTTGAAAGGCTTCTGCTCACCTTTAGAAATTGGTCAACCCGATTACATTTAGTGTAACACTTTTCAACAGAATGAATTAACCCACAAGTGTCACTGCAATCGTTGTGTCTGAGTAATCCCCACGTAGGCTTGGTATGGTACGAGGTTAACAAGGCGATTCATGAATGCTTAGCTCCATAACCACACGACCGCGGCTCTCAACTCTCAACGTCCCTTCTGCCATTGTCGACACGTGTCCACTCACGTTAAGCTGCTTGAAACTGTTATTTGCGCTTATGTGTGAAGATGGCTGGAAGGAACCCGAAAGAGAGGAAGACCGAACAGAGGATGGCATGACGACGACATCAGAGATTGGTGCCAGAAAGATGTTGCACTACTTGAGCATATTGGCATAAAGCAGAGAGGAACGTGTAAACAAATGACGAAATATGCAGTGGATAACTACGGGCTGTCTGCCCCATGGATCGTGACGATGTTGATGACGATAATGACTCGGGATGCTTCGTTTTGCCCGACAGGAAAGACCCCGACGGAGGAGATGCTGGAAGAGATGATGGGCGAGGCGTCGGGGCCCATCAACTTCACCATGTTCCTCACCATGTTCGGGGAGAAGCTCAACGGCACGGATCCCGAGGATGTCATCCGGAACGCCTTCGCCTGCTTCGATGAGGACGGCACGGGTATGAAGCAGCCACGCTGTTGTTGAGTGACAACAACAGCTCGGCGTCGCTAATTATAACTCTGCTCTCAATGCCACCACCACCACCACCACCCAGCTCCCAAGAGGCGTGTTGCGTTGGCGTGCGTGCAATTTCGATGGCGCTACTCCAGCGACTCTGGAATAACAGAGAAGTCAATGTGTTTTGTTGTTGTTGTATATCTTTTTATTGGGCAATTAAAAGAATCCCAAAAATAAGCGTGTAACGCGCGCGTGTAACGAAACCAGAATAGAACTCCTCCAAACGGCGGGCCTTCTTCCTCCGCACCTCCGATTAGCGACGGTCGGCTACGCACGGTGCGAAAGAAGTACAACTCACGCACGTACATCAGTTAAATAACATTTGGGTTCATCACCCTACCACTGTGGGGAAAGCGATTGGGAGCAGCAGATTAACGGGGAAGGGAACGAAAGGGAAGAGAGGGAGGGAGTGGAATAATGTGACCAAACAGAATAAAATGACGTAAACGCGATGTCCAGATCTACTATTCTTGTTTCCTCCCGAGGAGCAACAATCACGAGGATCTTGCATGAAAGTCTCCGCGTCCGAGATCCCGCCTCTCCCCCAGCACCCCCGACCCCCCATTGCTCTGACCACTCATGCCGAGTTCAATAGGAACGGGGAACGTATTGCCTCGTGCTCCCATTCCCACCCTTTCAGCTGAGAGTTCAGGTGTTCCTGTATATAACCCTGATAAGGCATTGAGAGTTATAGGTGGGGAGGGGGGGTGGGAATTCTGGATCTTTCCTATTCGCTAGAATCGTCTTTCCTGCAACTACAGTGAGGGAAAAAAGTATTTGATCCCCTGCTGATTTTGTACGTTTGCCCACTGACAAAGAAATGATCATCTTCTTGGTTCTTTCGGTAAAGTCACGTAGAATGGAAATAAAATAGTAAAAATAAAATAATTAAATTCTCACGACGGTTCGGCCACAACACAAGTGGCCTTCTTCAGGTGAAGAAACAGGTCTGTCCAGAAGACAGAGCTTGAATGAACGCTGTCAAGCAAGGGCCGCGTCTTTTAAGCTGTGTGGGCGGAGTTAACATATTAATTAGCATGTTGCCAGCAGCACCTCCGGAGTGGAGGAAGGAGGGGGCTGGGAACACAGACAAAAAAATGATCAGTCTATAATTTTAATGGTAGGTTTATTTGATCAGTGAGAGACAGAATAACAACAAGAAAATCCAGAAAAAACGCATGTCAAAAATGTTATAAATTGATTTGCATTTTAATTAGGGAAATAAGTAGTTGACCCCCTCTCAATCAGAAATATTTCTGGCTCCCAGGTGTCTTTTATACAGGTAACGAGCTGAGATTAGGAGCACACTCTTAAAGGGAGTGCTCCTAATCTCAGCTTGTTACCTGTATTAAAGACACCTGTCCACAGAAGAAATCAATCATATTCCTAACTCTCCACCATGACCAAGACCAAAGAGCTCTCCAAGGATGTCAGGGACAAGATTGTAGACCTACACAAGGCTGGAATGGGCTACAAGACCATTGGCAAGCAGCTTGGTGAGAAGGTGACAACAGTTGGTGCGATTATTCGCAAATGGAAGAAACATAACAGAACTGTCAATCTCCCTCGGCCTGGGGCTCCATACAAGATCTCACCTCGTGGAGTTGCAATGATCATGAAAACGGTGAGGAATCAGCCCAGAACTACACGGGAGGATCTTGTCAATGATCTGAAGGCAGCTGTGACCATAGTCACCAATAAATCAATTGGTAACACACTACGCCGTGAAGGACTGAAATCCTGCAGCGCCCGCAAGGTCCCCTTGCTCAAGAAAGCACATATACATGCTCGTCTGAAGTTTGCCAATGAACATCTGAATGATTCAGAGGACAACTGGGTGAAAGTGTTGTGGACAGATGAGACCAAAATGGAGCTCTTTGGCATCAACTCAACTCATCGTGTTTGGAGGAGGAGGAATGCAGCTTATGACCCCAAGAACACCATCCCCACCGTCAAACATTGAGGTGGAAACATTATGCTTTGGGGGTATTTTTCTGCTCGGGGGACAGGACAACTTCACCGCATCAAAGGGACGATGGATGGGGCCAAGTACCGTCAAATCTTGGGTGAGAACCTCCTTCCCTCAGCCAGGGCATTGAAAATGGGTCGTGGATGGGTATTCCAGCATGACAATGACCCAAAACACACGGCCAAGGAAACAAAGGAGTGGCTCAAGAAGAAGCACATTAAGGTCCTGGAGTGGCCTAGCCAGTCTCCAGACCTTAATCCCATAGAACATCTGTGGAGGGAGCTGAAGGTTCGAGTTGCCAAACGTCAGCCTCGAAACCTTAATGACTTGGAGAAGATCTGCAAAGAGGAGTGGGACAAAATCCCTCCTGAGATGTGTGCAAACCTGGTGGCTAACTACAAGAAACGTCTGACCTCTGTGATTGCCAACAAGGGTTTTGCCACCAAGTACTAAGTCATGTTTTACAGAGGGGTCAAATACTTATTTCCCTCATTAAAATGTAAATCAATTTAAAACATTTTTGACATGCGTTTTTCTGGATTTTTTTGTTGTTATTCTGCCTCTCACTGTTCAAATAAACCTACCATTAAAATTATAGAGTGATAATTTCTTTGTCAGTGGGCAAACGTACAAAAACAGCAGGGGATCAAATACTTTTTTCCCTCATTGTATGTAAAAGGTTTGAACCGGAGCATGTTGCCGTCTCGATTACCACCCCCCCTCCCTTTCGGTGTCAAGCCCCCACAGAGTTGAGTCCACTGAGATGCTTACCACCGCGCTACAAATCCGGTTAAAATAGTCTGTTATGTCCTGGTAACATTCCGAGATGTCTGGGCACGTCCAGAAGGCATGTCAGCGTGTGTCTGTACTGTGACTTGCGGGCACCTAGGGCAATAATGGGAGGATTCCGGAGAATTTGGCTCTCGCGTCATCGGACCGGGCAGATTCCACGCATGAACTTCAACTGAATGATTTTCAAAGTGGAGCGACCTGGGCCTGCGTTGTTTACGTCCATCTCTGGTGGTAAATGTCGTCCCAGCAGCCTTTCCCACAACTTGCTAGTTTCGAGGTCTGTCCCGGTTTTCCGCCACCGTCAATCAGGTGATACACCTCCGCCAATTTGGATTTTAATTTTTTTTTGGTCCGTGAGCCAATCTAGAATGTGGGGGTGGAGGGGCGGAGCGCTGTGGTCCAAGTTCTCGTTCGGGGCTTTAGTGATGGCATCCCTAATCTAAAGACGTCTACACAAGTGTGTCTGAGCAACATCACAGTGCACCTGCATTGGGCTGGAACGGTTTTACCTTCCCTTCCTTAGTCAGAAGCCCCCCCTCTCCCCCCCCCCCGCCCCCCCACCATTTCCAAGTCAGTTAATCTGCCCTCTATTTTTAAAGATGAGTTTCCCCACAGAGGGTGGGGGAGGAAAGAGTTTCGCTTATCCCTGCATATCAGCAGGGTGCTGGAGACCATCCATATCGGCCTCAGGACCCACGGCCTATCTCTCACAGGGAGGCAAAGGCAATCCCAGCACGTGACCAAGGGCCACGCAGAGCCACCCTCGTCCCCATCTCTTTCCAGCCCCTTACCTCTGCGGGTTAATCCCAGCGGTGTGATTGTTGCTTCGTGATATTTCAAGAAACCGGTGAGGGCCATGCCCCCCCCCCCCTCAATCCTGAATAAGGAAAGGGAATGGTAATAAATTCGTGCTATTTTGTGGTTCCATGTAAATGAGGTAATGTGCGAGTGGAGCGTTTAGAAGAAAGCCTGTGGGATCAGGAGTTTCTGAATCAGAAGTTTATTATCCTAATAAATGACCCATTGAGCTTTACAGCCTTTTTTTCAAGGGTGACTCGTCCAGCAGACAGATGCGGGTGGGGACCATTCATACGTAGGTGGTATAGGAGCTTTGGCAAGATCATCATCTTCATTCAATGTGCCCTATTATAAAAAGAAAGGGGAATGTCTGACAATACTTGCAGTGAGGTGGAAATGTCATGAAGGGTGGAGGGGACATTTTTTTTTTCTGGAAGGGGCGACGTAAGAGATGAAGGAATAATCACCCCTAGGTGTTTGGTGCCACCGTGTTTGGTATACAGGATGTCGTGGGCTCGATCCCGACCCCGTATTGTCTCTCTCTCACAGTGGTCGCGTGGATTTTTCTACGGGTCCTCCGGTTTTCCCCTCCACGTTTAGAATCAACGCGACGCGTTTAAGAGTATTTGGCTGCTACAATTGTCCACATGATGAGCCACTTTGTTGAGCTATCATTTGCGATAGCCATGTCGCTTCTCAAAAATAGCTAAATAGCTCAGTCGGGTCTTACCTGGTAAAATAAAAAAAATAGTTTCCTTAAAATGTCATTTGTGTTGGACACCACCTAAGGGTGAAAGCCTTTCCGGTGGCTTTGGGGAGATGGGGAATGAGGGCATCAACTCTGATTTAACTTCGTTTAATTTATACCCCGACGCCTCCCCATATTACTTGTCCAGAGATAACAAAACAGAGATGAAAGATACCGGCCCGTAAGGACAGGGGCGGAGCCACAGGGGGGCTGGGGGGGGGCTGGGGAAAGTCGGTAATCGGGATAACCGGATATCCGGTTGCTGCAAAATGCTGCAGGCTGCCACCTTGTGCTGCCCTGCAGGCTGCCACCTTGTGCTGCCCTGCAGGCTGCCACCTTGTGCTGTCACCTTGTGCTGCCCTGCAGGCTGCCACCTTGTGCTGCCCTGCAGGATGCTTGAGCAGCCTTTCGAACTTATCAAACTTATTAGCCACATCAGCGGCTCCGACCTATTAAAAAACTCCGCGTTCAAATCCAATAAATTTTTTTTATACATTTGTGGCGCTCATTGGAAAACATTACACTGGATATCTCAGAATATTGAAGTCAGCCCCCCCAAAGTCAAAATCCTGGCTCCACCCCTGCATAAGGGTAATGACGACTTCATCCGCGTATACGTCGATTTTATCATCCT